GAGAGAGAGAGAGAGAGTAAGAGAGAGAGTAAGAGAGAGAGTAAGAGAGAATGAGAAAAAAAAGGGGGTAGGGGCTGTCTGATAAGGACTGTCTATGAACTTTCTATTTTGAACCCAATGTTGACAAGTCGTGACCAAGCCCAGAATATTATTAGATCTGTAGCAGTAGTTAAAAAGTCAGGAAAGGCGGTGGGTTGGAGGTTAGGGGGAGGGGGGAGGGTGGAGAACCCCCCCCCCCCAAATAAAACAAAGGGAAAAGAAACAACAACAACAACAACAACAACAACAGTTAGTTGTCTTACCGAGTAACAGAAGATTGCTAAACAGACAGGAGAGTAAATCTTACTGAAAGATCCTGCTGAAGGGATTGGTTATTAAAACATACCACAAAGTATTGAATTAGACACAATGAAAAGTCAATGATAGTATGATTCAAGGGGAGTGCCATTACTAGCTTTCATGAGTTATGGTGAACGTAAAGGACCAAAATACGTTGTCTTAGGTCTAGAAAGCATAGGTAAAAGGCCTTCACACACAAGAACATTATATTATTATAGAGAAAAAGAAACTCAAAATCAGCTTTAGCTGATTGCTAACAATGATGCCTTTGTAAATGAATTATTGAGCACAGTAATTTTGTTTCCTTTTTTTTTACACGAGTGCAACAACCCCCCCTCCCCCTCATGGTTTTATCTATTGAAAAGGTAATAATAATTACAGTATCCTTTGTCCTTTAAAATAGGATAAAACATTACAAACTGTATAGAGATGCACAAATACTACAGTCTTAATTGTTTGCTTGTGTCGTTGGGTTCCTTGGCCTATTATAATAATAATTTCTAAAGCGTTATCTCACTCATTGCCCCCCCCCCCCTTTACCTGTCAAGTTACCTGTCAAGTAAATTGCTTTGCCTTCATCTCTGACCGAAATCACCGTTCATTTCAGGTCGTAACTCATCATTGTTTTGTAAACAAATTACAATTCGAAGAATGAAAAGGTGGCTCAACATTACACAAAGGCGATCGGACAGTCCCAGAGTACAGGCCCAAAGTCTGTCTAGCAAATTCGGATGCACTCCTGATAGATGGTCAGGGGAAGAAGAAAAAAAAAAGTACCGGTGAAATCAAAGTTCGATATGATCCCATCTGACGTGGCATTGTTGGCCCTGCCAACCGAATCACGCCTTGCTTTAGTCTGATGTTCGGAGAAATCAAAGGCGTCGAAAAGTTCACACGCTGGGTGAGATCCGTTCATGGTGTTGCCCACGTGTTGCCCCTGCGCCTGAGGCGAACATTGTCCAACTCGTCGAGGATTTTAGAGCGGAGAAGTGATTGTATGTAGATCTCTATGTTTGAGTGTGGATGGTCCATAAAGGTTTTTTTTTGTTCAGTAAAACATGATCTAAAAAGCTGGCTCTATTTCTCCGAACACTCGGGATACTATACTTGAACTCTGTTTCTCGGAATGGTTTCATTCTTGAGATTTATTGATTTGTTGGTAATTTGCGCATGGAGTGGCCCCTGCGCGCGCCCGCTCGTGTTTGTGTGTAAGGTGTGAAGGAGGCGGCGAGGCGTG